TGAATTGTTTGCGTGTCTTTGTTGTGGCCGACTGTGGCCTAAGCCATGCATTCATGTCATCCCTGGTATTCATTGCATGCGTTTTGTTTGTATTGTTTCTCTCTTTCTATTACAACACATATAACAGAGAAAAAGTCCCAAAACTTGTTTCGCTTGAAAATATTGATAATAATAATAATAGTAATCATTTGTATTTCAGTAGAAAAGCAATTTAAATGAAATTAAAATTTTGTAAAAGTATTTTTGGTCCCTTAGATAATATATTTTTGGGGAATTTGAGCTTTGATTTTAATTACAACAAATATTTAACTTAATTTTACAATTTACTTTTTGTTAAAAATCATGAAATTTGTAATTTATAACTTCTAAAATAAATGAAAAAATTAAAACTTAAATTGCAAATATTTTAATGAGTTTATTATAACAAAAATAGAGTATTAATAAATCTTTAACTACTGTATTATAATAAAACATAAATTAATGAATTAAATTAGTTAATAAATGGCTTATAGTTACAAACGCTAAGAAAAATTATATTAAACAAAAACTAATGACAAAATTAATGAATAGATAAATCTTGGCATAAAGTATAGCACAAAGGGATGCAAATGAAACAAATGATAATCATAGCAATCATCACCGCATCCATGGTATAGAGATCTATGAGCATAATGGCATCCATGGCTTGGGAACAGGTCACTTTCTTCAATTTGAATACTGACTTATTGTATTTATCTACTGATTTATTGGTGCACAACTCGTTGTCGGTATAGTTTTGATTGTACACACTTTCGTTGCATTTGTGAAAATCATCGCAACAAATACAGGGCAGTGAATGGCGCCGCTTAGGCAGCGGTGGGCTCATCGGCCCCGCGTAAAAGCCATCCAATTTACCGTTGACCACATCGCTGTCGCCCCAACCGCAGCACTCGTACCGATCCATCACACGTTGAATACCACTTCTGGCCAACGAGTCGTTATTATTGGCGTAATAATTGACAAATGACTGCTCGGCGCTCGAGTTGACTAAAAGCGAGAGCTCTTTGTGGTAGGCGATCGATATGACCACCGATTGGGTCAGTAGTACACAGACGGCGCACATCAGCGCCGGACTCAGTATCAACTTTGGCACCGATTCCGACAGAAACCCTGTGAAGCCATAGTAGGCGGCAATCATTGCCACCAGTCCTCCAAATATCATACCTGTATAAGGGGTTAGAGGGGGAGGGGGTATGCAATTGTGTTAATATGTCTGTGGCGGTGATGATCAACGCTCTTACCGAAGTGGTAATGATGGCTGATGTCGTACGCTATCTCTGAGTTGGCGTCATTGACGGCAGCCATGATTACGAGTGCGAAACCCAATACACCCAATAGGAGATCAAAGGCTGACAATACAGTGCCGTAAACATTGAACAACCGGTTCATTAACATAGAGTCCACGTGTTGTTTGTCCATTTTGTTTGAGCTGTTTTTGGTGATCACCCGATGGATCAGTTACTGTGGTGTGAATTGTTTGATTAAACTATTGACTGTTTTTCTGTTTGTTTGTCTAAATTTTAAAAATATAAGTAAACCGTTGTTTAAATTGTTTATATTTTGCGCGATTAAACAATAAATGCATTTGAAGTCTATGTGAAATCATATTGAATAAAATGTACACAATTCAACTCATTCTTGATTTTATCGTTTGTATGTATTGTTATAAAATATCCGCTAAATGTGAATGAAATTCAATGTTTAGTTATTGATATAAATTATTACTTTTATAATTTTTATGTTGTATTTACTTTTCAATATTTTTAAAGAATCTATAGTATAGTCTAAGATTGTTCTCTAGCTCTTTATAACATGACGTGGTTTTTGCGTTACCTTGATATTTTGTAAACTATTATTCATTACAATCGTTACATTTAGTATAGCCATCATGTGCCCTGTTGTTTTATTGTGTTTACAATAAATATAATTTAAGTTTTCATTAAAAACCCCACTCCTTATATTAATGTACACTATATGTGAGTAATACCTGAATAGAGTATAAATTACACAGCAATAAGCTTCTCCTGGAGCTCTCATAGCACATACTCAGTATAGTCTATTATCACAGAAATGTTTCTATCCATACCTTTGCATACAATACCTGTTTAGTAGTTAACAACACATGTACTGTAGATAACAATTTAAATGTTAATTTCATATTATATATGGTTTAACGATTAATTAATATTATATTTACTTCAATTAATTCAACGATTATCAATTGGTTTTGATTGTCTCACATTTATCTATAAAATTTTGACAAACAAAACCAACAAAATATGTAACACTTAAACTATTGTTAAAATTATTCCAGATTTTAGTCCACAGAATAGTTAGTGAATATAAAACTCAATTTCTTTATCATTTATTTCTGAATAACAGCTAAAACCAAAACTTTTCTAAATGTCTGAGCACTCAATCAGAGCCCTAAATCTCGCGACTCCTATACCTATTGCCGGGACCGAACTGATAGGGCGAGTGTTTGTTTGTGTCCTCAAACTCGCGGGCCTTTTGCTGTCGTATCCACTGATGAGACAGAATCTGGGCGGCGGTCATCCGATTGTCGGGCAACGGATCTAACAGATTGGCCAACAAATCCTTGAGAGGGAATGGAAAGGGTCGGATCAACTCACCGGTGTATCCCCTGTCCTGTTTCTGTTTCACACACAAAGTGACCTTCAAGTTGGCCGCGAGAGTCGGCGTTTGGGCGGGTCTGAAGGGAACGGCACCCAAAAGCATAGCCAACAGACAGGCGCCCACTGAGTAACAGTCGGCCGGCAGACAATCAAAACGAATGTCAACGTTGGGGTCGGGCTGATCGTAGGACTCGGGCGCCGCATAGGGCAGACTGCAGAGCGCCCGATGAAACCACACCTGTCCGGGCGGGTCGTCCTCTTCCCGCATCTTTGAGTTCCCGAAGTCCGTCAGTTTGGGAATCATTGCGTCGAAGCGCCAGAAGTCGGGAGCGCCGGTCGCGTCTACGGCCAGGGGGTTGTGAAACAGGAGCACATTCTCGGGCTTCAGGTCTCCGTGCGCTACGGGGTATGAGTGCATGTATTGAACACCCCGTGCGATGCCTGTGATCAAGTGTCGGCAGTGGTGCGGCTCCAGAGAGCGCCACACTAGGACTCCCTGTGTGTTTGGGACGCGTAGAAACTGGTAGAGATCTCCAATCGGCGAATACTGTGTGACGAGAAAGAGTCGGTCAATGAAAGCCACGGCATGGAAGAAGCCGACAATGTTTGGGTGGTTTACCTGACCCACAGTCTCAGTCGCTTTCTCTATGGAAACAAATCATTAATTAAAACATTGATTATGTTTTTTTGGGAATGAATTCAAAAATAACTTTAAACACTAGACTTACGCTCCCTATCCATGGATAAGCTGTTGACGAGTCCCAATTGAAGTTTGAGCACTTTGATGGCCACCTGAGCGCCATCGCTGACATTAGTGCCCCGGTATACGGAGCCAAAGCTACCGGCGCCGAGCCTATTGTGAACGGTGACGTACTCCCGAAGATCACGTTTGTCGTAGTCATCTATTTCTGGCAACCCTTGTTGGATGACCACCGGAACCCCCGAATGGTGTCCCGAACCCAATGGAGTCGCCGCTTGAGCACCCGCTCCCACATTGGCTCCGCTCAGGTCTACCGACACGTCGGGTGTCAACACGCGTTGCGAACCCAAACCGAAAGACATGCGGTCCGGAGTCGACTCCATGCGGCCCGGAGTTGACTCCATTACAGGGCCGCCGCCTCCTATGGGCGATAGGTCTCCAAAGGAAACATTCCCGCGACCCCTTCCGCCCCCTATAGGAGATAAGTCCCCGAACGATATGTTGCCGCCGCCACGGCCTCCCCCTCCACCCCCTCCTACGGGTGATAAGTCCCCGAACGATACATTTGCGCGGCCACGACCTCTCCCTCCACCCCCTCCTACGGGTGATAAGTCCCCAAACGATAGACTCCGGCGCCGTCCACCTCCTCCTCCTTCACCACTGCTTCCCGCTAAGGGAGAGACGTCACCGAAGGATATGTTGCCGACTCCGCCAGAGATGACGGAGATATCCTGCAGTTCCTCTGGATGTCCGCCCCCTTCGGTTGGCTCGAAGACATCGCTCAAGTCCTGAGGCGATGACTGTCGGGGACTCCTGGCGTACAAGTGTTTGAGACTGGAGTCGGGACTCACCGTCTCATGACTGGTGGCGAAGAGGTGTTTGACACTCGTGTCCGGACTTCTCGACTCAGGAGTACTCGAGAAGAGGTGTTTCAGACTTGAGTCGCGCGGGCTCTCCATCTGAGGACTGGTTGTTGTTGTGAACAATCTCTTCACGTATGGCGAAGGACTCGATGAGCCCCGGGATCTCTTCCTCCCCTGTTGTGGTGGTGTCTCTCTGCCTGACATTAGTTCTGATTTGTTTTGTCTTGTGTTTGGTCTTAGTTTTAGTTTTTGTGGTTTAAATTTTAATCAATAATTGAATTTATGTTAATTTTAATTGTGTTTGAAAATTTAAAAATTTCATTAGAAAAGTAATTTTTTTCTATAGTATTCTGCATTATGTAATTTAAATTCTTTATTATGTATTTTATCAAACAATATAAAAATATGTATATACTTTACTCATTTAATCAGTAAATTGATATTAAAAGTCTAATATAAATCAATTAGTAATCCTATATTTAATATGAATGAATTCATCATTTAATAAACAATTTACATGTTTGTAAAATCAATTGGCAAAACAATGTGAAACAAAATAATGTTTGTCGTAAATTTTAATTTCCCAATTATTTGATAGTTGTTGTTGTCGATGATTACATCGACACTCCGGGCGGACCGGACAGAGCCTTCTGAGCGGCGCAATAAACCACATCAATGTCCAGCCGATCCGTGTCTAGCGGTGCGCTACACAGCGATACCACGGCGTCCACCAGTAATAGACACCCGTTTTGATGGCAAACGCGACCGATATTGTCCATCGGCTGAAGTGTACCGACACTGGAGTCCCCGTGACATACGTACAACACCTTTGGCTTGTGCTCTATAGAGAGACTATAGAGAGATATTGTGGCCGCTGGTGATCGCCAGCACGTAAAAAGTGCTAGCTGATTCATATATAGTGTACATTATACTTATTAAATGAGTGGAGTTTAGTTTTAATTATTGAGGAATAAATAAAATCTCATTAACGTTAATAATGTAATATAATGTAATAGTAATATGCATTCTGCAATAGTGAGTGCAAATTTGAAAATTACATTTAATAAATAAGTAATTATATTTGACAAATATTATTTATAAACATAATTTAATTCACAATTGAAATTGAGTCGAATTACAGACAATTAGTTATAAACAGTTTTTAAAAACAATTTTATTAAACACTAAATTGAAAACACAATTTGGCATAACTTTCACATACCGTGAGCTGAGGTTATAAATAGCCGATCAATAGATCTCTGCGTTCATAAGTAATATATTAATTGATTATCAAAAGTTAATTGTTATCTGAATATTAAATTAATTTACAATGAAATTCACACAACTATTCATTGGTCTCGTATTGATTGGGCTTTTGTTGACCATTGAAAGCAACGCTCAATTAAGAGGTATTTCGGTTTTAAATTACATTGATTTCAATGAACACTCGTTTTAAAATATAAATTAGGATTTCGTCGGCGAAAGGCATTTGATACACGTCTGGCGCCCAAAGCCATCAAACATGTGCCCATACGAGTGCCGGCTCTTCATAAGCCTAAACCGATTGCCTCGCGACGAATCGGCCGTTTTCGTGGATAAGTGATTCACCATTTAATTATGTAAAATTGACCATGGCTCAATTAAGACAACTATTTTGATTATGCGTCTTATATTTAATAAAAGAGCCTAACTTTTACCATATGATATTCTTTCAATGCCTAACATGTAATTACAATCACAATATGAATTAAAATTAGTTAATTTGTGTTTATTTGTAAACATTTAACCAAAATTTAATGCAAATATACATATAGGCATGCAGTTTATAAACAAAATTAAAAAGTTTCAATTTATTATTAAAATATTTTAAAATGATTAATAATTTATTATTATGCTATGATTTTCTCTCACTTTTAATCCTATATTATTAATCGCCAAAGTAGTACAGCGGCTATACTTAGTGTAGCCACATGTTCAAATAAATATCTAACATAAATATATCTATAATTAATTGATTATATTGACAATTGACAGATATTTTACATTATAATTAAATATAATTATATTTAATATAAGGGGCACAACGTATCCGCCATTTGAGGATGAAATTCAACGTTTGAAATCAAATAACAATTTTGAAAACTTATTTCAAACGTCGGAAATTATTTTATTCTACTCTCAACTTAATATTGAAGAATTCCCATTATTAATAAATAATGCATTAACAATCCTAATATATTTTGGATCGACTTTTGATTGTGAGCAATTTTTTTCATTAATGAAATCAATTAAAAATGACAAAACTAATCGTTATTCCGAAAAAACATTGAGATCACGTTTGAAAATATGGTCAACGAATACGATTGAGTCAAATATTAATAAAATTGTTGATAATCGCAAACAATATCAAAAATCTCATTAAAATGTGAATTAAATTTAATTTTAAGTGACATTTTGTGGATAGACTGAAAGCCAACCACGTATAAAAATGGGTGAAAAACTATTAGGTTGACCTTCACGTGGTGTTTCTTGTTTAATACTAACAAACCTAAACTTTTTACTGATCGTTGCGCCACCTTTTTAGGGCACACTGTGAATCCATATATGTGATATTTTAAAAAAGATTGGCTATTAATATCCTATATCCTAATGTAATATAGACTATAATTTATAGTCATTATGATTCAAATGTATCACATTAAAATAATTTTTCAAAATCTCCTTGCAAATTTGAAAATTACATTGCTAATTTTTTGTGACATCTCTCTCCTGGTTATGAATCATGAATATTTGAATAACTTATGATATTTGTGAACATTATTAAAATAACAAGTTTTGAAATTGTGTCGAATTAGTAATTCGCAAAACAATATTCAGTAATACTTTGCATTTATTAGGAATCGTAAGTATATTTAACAATAAGGCTTATTAACAATTCAATAATAGATGTGTTTGTAAGTAAAGGCAAATTTATAATGAGTTAACAATTTGGTTATTCATAATTATAAAACAATGTTTGAATTTAAGTATTGCATTACTAATTGATTATAATTTATAAGTTATTCGGAATTACAGACAATTAGTTATAAACAGTTTTTTAAAACAATATTATTCAAGACTTAATTGAAAACACAATTTGGCATAACTTTCACATACCGTGCGATGAGGTTATAAATAGCCGATCAATAGATATCTGCGTTCATAAGTGATATATCTATTGGTTATCATAAGTTAATTGTTATCTGAATATTAAATTAATTTACAATGAAATTCACACAACTATTCATTGGTCTCGTATTGATTGGGCTTTTGTTGACCATTGAAAGCAACGCTCAATTAAGAGGTATTTTATTTTCAAATTAAATGAATTGATTGTCAAAATACAGTCGTTTTAAAATATTAATTAGGATTTCGTCGGCGAAAGGCATTTGATTCAGTCAGGCGTCGGCCCAAAGTCATCAAACATGTGCCCAAACGAGTGCCGTCTTTTTATAAGCCTAATCCGATACTAATCTTGAATAAGTGATTCACCATTTAATTATTAAAACTGACCATGGCTCAATTAAGACAACTATTTTGATATTTTGATATTATATTTAATATAAGAGCCTAACTTTTACTATAATATAGTAATATATTCTTTCTATGCTTAATATGTAATGACAATGTACTAAAATTAGTTAATTTATGTTGATTTATGTTAATTTATTTGTAAACATTTTATCAAAAATTTAATGCAAGTATATGCAGTTTATGAACAAAATTAAAAAGTTTTAATAATTAAAATATTTTAAAATGATTATTATTATGCAATGCTTTTCTCTCACTTCTAATCCTAAATAATAGTGAAGCGAACTTTAATGTGATAACAATTCTAATAATGTTATAATCAATTAGTAATGCGATACTTAAATTCAAACATTGTTTTATAATTATGAATAACCAAATTGTTAACTCATTATGAATTTGCCTTAATCTACAAACACATCTATTATTGAATTGTTAATAAGCCTTATAATTGTTAAATATACTTAAGATTCCTAATAAATGCCAAGTATTACTGAATATAGTTTTGTAATCCGTAATAATTGTGCTCTGATTTTACTATAATCTCAATAGACTATAATTTATAGTTATTTTGATTCAAATTTATGACATTAAAAAAATTTCAAAATTTCTTTGAAAATAAAAAATTATTCTTTACGTAATTTACAAAGTACTGTTAAAATACATCATTTAATCATATAATCCTGGAGTAAACGATAAATAATAAATGCTGAATTTTGATTTTGACCGTGTTAATACAGAGTTAATCTGCTTATCAGTACAAGTATTAAACATGAAAATTAAACACAGAAACAAGAATTTATAGTTTTTAATGCTTTATTTACTGTAAATATAACATCATTTGTATGACTGATTATACAGTTTATAATTAGATAGTGATATACAGTTTGAGATTGCATTCAAATTTTGAATTTCAAAACAAGTCTTAAGTTTAAATTGTCTTCCGATTTGAAATACCAATGAGTGATATGTTTGGGACATATCTCTATCAATACGCCGATACTATTGCTAATGTTTATACAGCTTTTGATAACAACTATTAATAAACAAATTAAAAGTCTCAACTGATATACAGTACTGCTTATACAGTGATTGTGTATAAAATTAATCATTGTCATTCGTGGTGTGTTTGAATCAAAATGCTAAAAATATATGTAAGTTATTTGTGGGCTATTTTAGTGGTGTTGTGTGCGACGAGAGGGTCGGCCGACACTCCGGCCAACTGTACGTATGAAGACATTCGCGGCGTTTGGCAGTTCTCAGAGTCCGAGCGCTCCAACGATAAGACAGAGATCTGTAACGGCAGTCAGATTTTGGTCAATAAAGTGAAGTTTGAGTTATTGTTCCCAAACATCGCGGTCGACGAGTTGGGCAATAAAGGTATGGCCTCGGCATTGTGCATGCACATAATTATTATTAAATTATAATAATACAATTATTATTATACTAGATCATTTTGAGTGCGTATTACACAGTTTTATCAACATAAATAACTATCTTATATAATGTTTATATAATTTAATGTATAAAAACTAAATGTACAAAATTATTTATTAATCCAATCGCACAGGCATTTGGACAGTGGTTTACAATCAGGGCTTTGAAGTAATCATAAATTACCGCAAATACTTTGCCTTCTCGGCGTACTCTGCGAGCGGCCACAATGTGACCAGTTATTGTCATAAGACACTACCAGGGTGGTCTCACGATGTGTTGGGCCACAACTGGGCCTGTTTTAAGGGACAGAGGGTTAGCGGAAGTCAGGAGCCCAAGACATACACTCGCAAACTGAGGGCACCGTTGGGTATATTCTGGCAAAACCAGTTGGCTATACAAGAGATGAATACAATGCAAACCCTATGGACGGCCAAACATTACCCGCGTTTGGACGGAAAGTTCATGAAAGACATTCATAACATGAAAGGCGGATCCAAATCGCGAATTATAAGGTTTATTTTGTTTACAATTTGTTGATATCATTTTAATCATAAATATTATATTTAATAAATATTTATGACACTCTGTCAGCCCTCCATCACCAGCGCCTGTAACCGCTGAAATACGTCGACAGGCCGCCCAACTTCCCGACCATTTTGACTGGCGCAATGTGAGCGGGGTTAATTACGTGTCACCCGTTCGTAACCAGGGTTAGTTCAATTAAAACCACTAATCAGTGATTAACACCGATGGTAATCAACCGTATATACCATACATGTATAATAATTGCTATAAATAGGATCGTGCGGTTCGTGTTACGCCTTCTCGTCGGTGGGTATGATTGAGGCCCGACTCCGAGTGGCCACTAATAACACCGTACAGGAGATACTATCGCCACAGGATGTGGTCAGTTGTTCGGAGTACGCACAGGGATGTGACGGTGGCTTTCCATACCTTATAGCCGTAATTACATGCAATAGAAATACCAAAACAAATTACTTATGCTTAACTAAAACACACATAATTTTCAGGGCAAATACGGCCAGGATTTCGGTTTAGTGGACGAGTCGTGCTATCCATATGTGGGCACTAACGGCAGGTGTGAGGAGAAGAGGTGTCTCCGCCACTACACGGCTCAGTACGACTACGTGGGCGGCTATTACGGGGCCTGTAATGAGGAGCTGATGCGTTTGTCTTTGGTGAAGAGGGGCCCCCTTTCCGTCTCGTTTGAAGTGTACGACGACTTCATGTCGTACGCCAGCGGTATCTATAAGCACACGGGTGTCACCCATAATGGGCTGCGATTTGATCCGTTTGAGATAACTAACCACGCGGTGCTGGCCGTCGGCTATGGCGTGGAAAACGGTCAGAAGTATTGGATCGTTAAGAATAGTTGGGGCGCCGGTTGGGGAGAGAGCGGCTACTTTCGCATCAGTCGCGGTAATAATGAGTGCAATATCGAGACCATAGCCGTCCAAGCCATACCTATACCTTATTAGAGGGTTTTGTAGTGAAACAATTTTATGATTATTATTCAGTTATTGACAAATTTACAAATATTAACTCGTTTTTAATATTTACTCAAACAATAGGCGACACATTTATAATATCGATAACTAATACAATTGAAATGAAATGAATAAATCTATATACTGTATCATATTATTTAGTACAATATTTAATACTTTTGTGATAACTATTTGTTTCCGAAAAATAAAATTATTATTAAATGAAAATATTAATAGAGTAGTTTTTATTAAATCTCTCTCTCTCTCTCTCTCTCTCTCTCTCTCTCTCTCTTGCAAATGTACACTTATAAGCAAGTTCAATTATCTTAGATTGCAATTAGTAATTTCCATGTACACTGCTGAACTTGATAGGTTTAATTACAATTTTAATAAAAGTTTCCCAGTGCGGGTAAATGAGGGTAAACTGTAATGTATTTATTGTCTATGGGAGCATATAGACAAAGTCTACCTTTTGGGATCTCCTGATTGTAATTGTAATTTATTGTAATTGTTATCAAACAATGGTTATTATTGAACATAATTTCTATTTCTTCAAGAAATAGTTTATTGTTAATAAAGTCATGAGTACTGTATTTGATAATGACTTTTAAGTATTCTAATGCAAAGCCACTATCAATGCAATGCAAAGCCACAGACTGTGTGCAAAGTCAAAGTATATAAAGGTATGAATCAATCTTTTTTCAGTTTATTTATAACAATCAATTGGAAATATGCTGACAATAAACCACTTGTGGGCTCTGGTATTACTGGTGTGCGCCTATAGAGTGGGCGCCGACACACCGGCCGACTGTAGGTATGAGCAAATCCGTGGCGTTTGGGTCTTCTCGGAGTCCGAGCGGACGGCCGACCGGTCGGAGAAGTGTGACGGATCTCAACATCTGGTCAATAAAGTTAGGGTTGAATTGCAATATCCAAACACCGCTGTCGACCAGTTTGGCAATAAAGGTATGCATTATTGAGTTTTAACTAATGTTAAGTTGTAATTATGTTAATGAAGTTTAATTATAAAGTGGTATCATTAAGATTATGCTGTTATAAGTTAAGTTATGCATTAACCAACAATTCTAAATTAACTATAAGTAAAACGCGATTAAAGTTGCAAACTATACTAAAGCCAGTCTAGTAACAAATAACCATCTGCAATTGACCATAAACTATTTTCCCCACGTTTAGGCACATGGACTCTAATCTATAACCAGGGCTTTGAAGTGATCGTTAATAATAGGAAATACTTTGCGTTTTCAAACTACACTCAAAAGGGATCAGTTGTGACGAGTTATTGTCACCAAACGAGTCCCGGATGGTCGCACGACGTGTTGGGTCACAACTGGGCCTGTTATACAGGGGAGAGGGTTACCGGCGATCGCACACCCAATACACACATCGATAGGACTGCCAAACAATTAGACGGTGTCTTCACTCAAAGCCCGGACGCCATTCAAAAGATTAATGCAATTCAAAAGTCGTGGACCGCAAGACATTACCCGCAGTTTGAGGGCATGTCTCGCACAGACATGTATCTCATGTCAGGCGGACCCAAATCACGGATATTAAGGTTTGTATTATTTGTAAATTTATTATTAATTTTGTTCACATATACTGTTTTGAACTTTAATACTAAAACATTGCGCTTATTTCCCAAAGCCCTCCATCGCCAGCGCCGGTGACACCCGAAGTGAGCCGATTGGCCGCACAATTGCCCGACCATTTCGATTGGAGAGACGTTAACGGCGTTAACTTTGTGTCTGATGTTAGAAATCAGGGTAATTACTAAATTTTAAAAAATTAATTAAACAATTACTGTAATATATATCTCATTTCCAGGCGGTTGTGGCAGTTGTTACGCATTCGGTGCCATCGGTATGATTGAGGGCCGACTCCGAGTGCTGACCAACAACACCGAAGCGGTGGACCTCTCGGAACAGGATGTGGTCAGTTGTTCAGCCTATTCGCAAAAGTGTGATGGTGGGTTCCCTTATCTAATTGCCGTAAGTAGTGAATTGCTTAATTTGCGTGTGACCATGGCACATTCTCACAATATATTACTGTAAATATTACAGGGCAGATATGGACAAGATTTTGGTCTGACTCTGGAGTCGACTGTCCCCTACACCGGACGCAACGACAAGTGCGCGACCAAAGCCACGGCTGAGCGCTATTACACGGCTGAGTACCACTACGTGGGCGGCTATTACGGCGCCTGCAATGAGGAGCTGATGCGATTGGCCCTGGTCAATAACGGACCACTAGCCGTGTCGTTTGAGGTGTACGGCGATTTTAGTGGCTACCAAGGTGGCATTTATAAACACACAAAAGTCAGTCTATCGGACTCTAACGCCGAGTTTGATCCGTTCGCCATCACTAACCACGTGGTGACGATTGTCGGCTACGGAACCGATGACAAGACCGGTCAGAAGTATTGGATCGTTAAGAATAGTTGGGGCGCCGGTTGGGGTCTTAAGGGCTATTTCCTGATCAGTCGCGGCAATAATGAGGCCAATATTGAAAGTATTGCCGTCGAAGCCACGCCTATTCCTAATAAAAATATCTAGATTTTAATTTTCAACACAGTATTAAACTTACTAAATAAATAAATTTATCAGTACTGCGTTTATAATATAAATTATATTTAAGTTCAGGGTCAAGTAATAAATTATTGCATTTTTATCATTGACAATTGAGTATTTGTTTAATAATAATTATTATTATAAATTAACCTGATAAATTATCTGTGATAATAATGGATATTACAATACATTCATGTATATTCACTAATAGTTTTTATAAAGATATTTCACGTATAATTAATTGTTTATATGTAAACATGGTTGCTTGTTATACATAAAATACTAAATTAACATTATAATGTTATGGGATAAAAGGATTAACATAGGATTTAATGATTGACTAAATACTCACACTTAAAGTGCCTAAATATGCATTTATTATAACGTTTATCTAATATTAGTATCGACTAACTATGGGGTAATTTCTTATACATTAAGATATTAACATAATTAAATATCAATATCTTAAACACTTAAGTATACGTTTACATCGATTGATTTAATAAACAATTAATTGATACAACAAAGAGCATTAATTACAGTAAAATAACATTCTCAGAAAAGTGATTATTCCAATGATAGCTAAAACTTATAAATAATTTTAGGTAATAATAATCATTATAAATCATAACAATAGAATTTGAGAGTATTATCAGGGTACAACACATTAGAGCACATTTTATCATGGACTATTGTTCGAGAAAAGTATTTGTGCTTTTTAATTTAATAATAATTGTTTCACAATTTATATGTTTGACTTTGAAATATGTTTTTTCAATATAGACTATTGAAAGCAAGATATGATGTGATTGTCTTCTAACACACCGAACACTTCAATGGGTCTCCCAATGAGTTAATCTCATTTCAACGATCAATGCATATATAAAGAGCACTGTATTTGGCATTCAATTGTGTGACAACAAAGTGAAACAAACTATGTTGAAGACAAATCACTGTTTGGTGGCCCTATTGGTGGCCGTCGTATGTGTGGGCGAACTCACGGCCGACACACCCGTCAACTGTTCGTACGAAGAGATTCGCGGCGTTTGGGAGTTCTCAGAGTCCGCCCGAACCGCCGAAAGGACAGAGGTTTGCGACCCGAAGGTTGGCTTCAAAGTGGCCAATAAATTCAAAGTCACTCTCCTTTATCCCAATATCGCCACCGATGAGTTTGGACACAATGGTTAGACAATCTAGTTCAATTATTACTAACCAAACATCTAGTAAACTTATAATAACAAATTGTTCACGATCATTTGCACAGGCACGTGGACACTGGTCTACAACCAGGGCTTTGAGGTTATCATTCATAACCGAAAGTACTACTCCTTCTCGGACTACACCCAAAAGGGAAATGTTGTGACCTCGATATGCAACCGAACCACACGTCAGGGACCGGGCGGTTGGTCTCACGACGCGCTCGGCCACAACTGGGCCTGTTATTCGGGCCAACGGCTGACCGGTCCGCACGCCGTCAAGACACACACCATCGATGACGTGGAAGCGTTCAGCGCCGGTGTCTTCACGCAAAACCCCGATGTCGTCGATAAAATTAACGCCGTTCAGAGCTCGTGGACCGCCAAACACTACCCACAGTTTGAGGGAAAGTCACTGAAATACATGCATCACATGCACGGCGGACCCAACTCTAGAATCTTCAAGTGAGTCCACTATTTATTATTATTTTTACATGAATATAACTTTTAATATTAACATTTAATACTTAACATGGTTATATCATAGTTACCCATCGCCAGCACCCGTCACACCCGAAGTACAGGCACAGGCCGACGCACTTCCCGAGAGTTTTGACTGGCGAAATGTCAGCGGGGTCAGTTACGTGACATCCGTTAAGGATCAAGGTATTTATTAGCACAAATCACAACATTTAATCAATTAAAAACTAAACAAATAATACAATTGAAACATTATACCAGGTGGTTGTGGCAGTTGTTACGCCTTCGGTGCGTTGGGTATGATTGAGGGCCGACTGAAACTGGCGACTAACAACACCGAGTCCATCGACCTGTCCGAACAGGATGTGGTCAGTTGTTCGTTGTACAACCAAGGTTGCGCCGGTGGTTTCCCCTATTTGGTTGCGGTAAGTTTATTTAATAACACTATAATTTGAGTTAATTCACATCAAACTTCTATACAAAACCAATTATTAGGGTAAATACGCGCAGGACTATGGCGTTACTTTGGAGAAAAACAACCCATACAAGGGCTCGGACACCAAGTGCTCGACCCCAGCGGGAGCTGAGCGTATATATGCCGCCTCTTATGGCTATGTCGGCGGTTATTACGGCGGCTGTAATGAAGAGCTGATGCGGATCTCGTTGGTTAGAGACGGACCGCTGGCCATATCATTCAAGTACGGCATGTTTGACGACTTTGTGTCGTACGGCTCCGGTATATACACACCGACTGAAGTGAAACACGACATCAACGGAGAGTACAACCCCTTCATTGAGGTGAACCACGCGGTGCTGATCGTCGGTTACGGCAAAGACGCCAAGACTGGTAAGAAATACTGGATCGTGAAGAACAGTTGGGGCGCCTCCTGGGGTGACCATGGTTACTTCCAGATTGAACGTGGTGTCAACTCCAAGGGTGTTGAGAGTATTGCCGTCGAGGCCATTCCCATCCCCTATTAAATGTTTGATTATGGTTTTAATACTGTATAATGTGTTGAATGTTGTCCATAAAGTTGTAATAAACTATAAAATGCTGACAATTACTGTAATAAATGTTCAATAAATATAAATTCAATTTATAATTAATGTTTTAATTAAAAGAAAGAGTTTATTTCAAATCAATGTGTGTTTTTCATTGCTATAAATTATTGATTGAAAAGCTTAAGACATACTATTATTTTTAATTTAATTGTTTGGCATAAAATAATGCAAATGTTTGATTGTAATACAAAAATGTAATTAACGTGAGTATTAATTGTTATAAATGTAATGCAAAATAGTCTATTGGTTTTGTTTTAATAACGGTTTTTATTATTACTTTATTATTGCAAAAACACTGCAAACAAAATAAAGACTCAATTTTGAATCACAATAATTTGATCCAAAGGACTGATCGACACATCCAAACAATGGGCAGAGTTTTGATCTATAATCTGACCAAAAGGAGGCGAAAGGTATTGTTGATGGGAATGCTTGTGACGAACCTCTTGGCCACACTCATAGCGACGGCAATCTTCGGGATATCTCTTTACTATTACTTCTATTTCAACGCCAAATCTCACCTCTTGGAGGGCCTGTCCTTCAGATGGTTTAGTATAACATTTTTGGTCATCTCGTTGTGCATCGGTTTCCAACAGCTGTTTCTTTCTTATTTCCTCAATATATCCAGGTTTGTAGTCTCTCTCTCTCTCTCTCTCTCTCTCTCTCTCTCTCTCTCTCTCTCNNNTCTCTCTCTCTCTCTCTCTCTCTCTCTCTCTCTCTCTCTCTCTCTCTCTCTCTCTCTCAAAATCTGATAATTATTTTCACAATAAAACACAATTCACTTTCATTTATAGATCCACTGAAAGTGTGAAAAAACTGGTGAAGAAGCGATATCTGGGATGTGTTTACAATCTCTATGTGTTTTCAGCGCTCTTCGTATTGCCGGCGGTTATCATATACTCCCAGATATTTGTAAGCTATGTCTTCACTGGGTTTGAGTCGGGAATGAATAGCAAAATGCAAACCTACGAGAGGCAAGTGTCGGACCGGCGAGAGCTGAACGAAATTCAATTTGAGTACAAGTGTTGCGGCGCCAGGGGTTACGAGGACTGGTATAAAATCCGTTGGAATGGGACCGTAAAGCCTAATGCGGTGCCATTCAGTTGCTGTCTGTCCCCATCGCTGGCCGTTTGCCGTAACGAAATGTTGGGAGATCTGGCCAATCATGACACCATCAACGAGATCGGGTGCGCCCACAAGTTCCGCGACTTTATCACCAATCGGCTGAACGCCGGCACCAGTCTATGGATAGTGATAGCCGTCGTCCATATCGTAACGCTCGTAATGTTTCAGTACTGGAAGTCGTCGCTCGAGTCGGCCATACGTGTGACCGGCGATCCCCGACAGCCGGGCGACGGTTGGCTCGAAGTGCCGTTCCTTGGCTTATATCAGGAGCTAAAACGTGAAGTGACTGCCAAACGGGTGTCAAACCGATCCGAACGCAAACCCATAGTCAGTGAGAGGAAGGAGGAGAAGAAGTTCTTCGTAAGTCCGGTGACAACCGATTACAATACCGAAGACTCGGGCCCAGGCGTGCAATTGGCCAATACTTTAAGTAAAACGCTATACATGTCTAACAATTAATAATCATATGATTTGTTAATCTATTAAATCTGTGGCCAAAACTCAGAACCGATGCCAAAGTCGCCGAAACCATCGCCTCGTTTTGCCGCCACATCGGGCAGGAAGTGGTGCGAAGAGTGTGTCGATAATCAGCCCAGAGATCACGTCTGTGTCCATCACTCGGCGGCGCTGATGGCTGTCGACGGCCACGAGTCGAGCGACTGGTCCGACGCCGACGACGAGTCCTCATCGGGCGAGAGCCGACTCTTTGACCGACGGCTACACAACAGCTATAATCCCAAATTGGGTGACGAAAGTGGGGGTAGAGGTGGCGGAAAAAGCGGCGCTCAACCCGTGAAGAGCAGAGTGTCGGACATGAAAACAGCATCAGTGGTGGCGAAAGGCAAACCCGGGGCCACCGATACGGCCACCGAAGGGCCCGCCGATACGGAACAACCAAAACGTAAATATAGGGAACGCTATTTCATACTGAAAGAAGTCCGTTAATTACCGATACAAATATACTCTGTATTTATATATTATGTATAATTAATACTTTTATTGCGATATTATTTTATAATAAAAATGTAAATTTATAAATAATTTTAGTTGTTATTTAAAATATAAATAACTTTTAGTAGTAAAGTTAAGAAAATGTCCAAGTTTCAAGTTATGAATACAGAATATTTTTGATATAACCGTTAGTTAACTGATAAATAATACTAACAAAATATGGGATGTCATAGAGTGTGTCGCATATGACAAATGACAAATCAATTTTTAATTTATTTATTTTGGCGATAATGGAGGAGAGAGAGAGAGAGGGAGAGAGATCATGATAACAATTGTTTTGTTATACTCATCATTTTCATTCAAATTGGTTCAAATGTTTAGTACTTTGAAAAATTGCGGATCCATATGATTAACAACAGGCAAACCACAAGCCTTG